GAGTTCAGACGTGTGCTCTTCCGATCCCCCCCCCCTCAACGGAGAGTTATGGATTTATTATTTGGTAATTATTTAGCAGGATTACGTAACTTCGCGGCGAAACTCAATTTAAAACTTCGTATTCCAGAAATCTATTAAGTTTCTTTTAACAAGCGACGGTCCTCGCCAGGCGGTGAGAAAAATGCAAGAGACGAGTCATCGGAAGTTACGGACTATCGGATTTATTTAAGGAAACAAAAGACAGGGGTAATAATAAAATATTTTTATTTACCAAGAAGGAATAAATAGGTATCCCGTTTATTGCACATTAAATGTTTTTAAAAAATATTTTATCGACTTATATAATAATTTCCAACGAAACGGGGCGTGTGCAATACTATGCGGATCATCCGGTGATATATGGAGCGTCTCAAAAGCCAAACTGATCAACTTCATTTCGAATCATTCATTTTTAGAATCACTTTTAAAATATTGCTCGTAAAATCGTTAACGACCGCAGTTTATAACTTCATCAATTTTCTCTACTTTTTATTTCGCGGAGGTTAATCAGTTTGGCTGCTGTACGCGCGTTAACATAGACGACGATGTATATTTTAGTTACGTCTCTTTTAAGAATATTCTGCGGATGCTCTTATGCGAGATATATCTCGGGGACATCATGATTTTCCAACGAGATATCTCGACAAGACCCCGGCGGGGTCTCTTTCGCCACGCGAGATATATCGTCCAGTAAAATTCTGAATACAACCCATCAAAAAATATATACTTCCTTTTTTTATCGGATTCATCTATCTTCGGAGTATCCTTTATCGAGTGCACTTAAACTTCCGCTTGGTGATGCAATCAAAAGTTAATAGTGCCGGAGAAATGAGAGGTGAATGCGCTTCGTAAAGAGCAAAAGGTCGATATCGATTCTACCAATTGCCGAGTTGTAATTTGTATCGGGAGATAGAGGCGCGAGACGCATCACCGTTAACCGAGTTTGCTGTTTCGTAGTCTATTTCCACGATGAAGACCTTGCATCAGCGATTCCAACCGCATTACGCCTTTTGTTGGTGTTCGATCTCAGCTTCGCTCGCCTGATTTCAGCAAGTAATCATATTTATTTCCACGCTTATCCAAGTGCAAATGAAGCTAGTCTAAGTTTGTGTTGCTTCAGATATATATTTAATGCAGTGTTATCCGTTTCATCTCATCCTTTAGCTTTAATTGTTCTCTAGTTTTATTTGCGTAAGGGTAGAAATAAAATTTGATTACTACGGAAATATCAGAAAGTCAAGCTGGCAAATGATATTTTTTATATTTGGCAGAATATTTTTCTTTTTAACATTCATTTTCTCACACGTTTTTTTTTCCTGTCAACAACTTTGCATATTTTATTTTGGTAAAAAAATAAATCAAGAAATAATAAATAAAAATATAATAGAGGGATAGTGAAGTTTGATTTAATGAACTTTTAGTGTTTAAAAGACATTATTCTCGCGCGTGTTCTCCGCGTCTTTAATTCGACAAACTGGAGCATGCAATAAATTTCAGAGAAACGCTCATATGTTACCCGTATCTCAAAAATACTCGTATCTGATTAATATAGGGACGCGTTGTGATGATATATGAATATTACATGCATAAATGTAATTTATGAATGGTAATACAGAAAAGTATGTAACAGTAACATTACACTATACCCATGTGTAATATAATTTCAATAATCAATTACTGCAATGCGATATTACTGTACCTGCAAGTTAATATTTATACAAGTCCGTATTATTAACTTTGAATATTTCCCTAAAGGATATAAAATATGAAATCTGTTAAAGATATATCGGATGAGAGAGAATAAGATAAAGAGAGAAAAAATTGTAATTTCCATTTATAATTATCTTTTTCACTGAACTTATTGCGTATATATATTTAGAAATCTTAAACATATCGCCCGATTTCAAAACAAAAGACGTATCTTCTGTAGCACGAGATGAAAATCTCGTCTACTTCCGCTAAATCGCATATATTTTCGATGAACATGCGCTTCTTCTGATAATACAGGAAAATGCACGAAACGCGAAATAATGGAACAATTTGTCAATCCATGTCAATATAACTTCTTCTATCGTGAATCTACGTTCAAAAATACTTTGTACATTTGGTAAAAGTAATACGATTTTATATCAATGTAATAATGTAAAATAAAGTTACACTTTATGCGAATTTTGAATAACGTTCGAACATTAACTGTTGCTTCAAGTCCACAGTCTAATTGGCGATTTTTCCACATTTGTCTTGTAGACATGGAATATATATTTTATTCGCGCTATCTTGTAAAAAAAATCATAATATGTATTTTTACTGATAAAAATTACTAATACTAATATGATCTTTCAAATTAAAAGTTTTTAATATAAACTGTACTTTACGTGTATCTGAAAGAATTTGAAAAAGGTGAACAAACAAGGAAACAGCGGGGGTTTCGGTTTACATAATATATGTTAAATTATATTTATACATTCAATTACACAGTATTAATAATGTATAAATAATAACTGCGCGAGAATTGTAAGACGATATAATAATCTTAGGCGAATAGTAAAAAAAAAGTTCTCTACATTACATTAGTTCCTGCAAAATATTTTACTATTTACAATGCACCTAAATCAAGGACACTTGTTTTGGCATATCACCACGCGACTTTCATACTACCTCGCCACCTAATTACTTTCTGTAATAAAGGAACATGAGAGTTGGGAAGTAGATCGATTACGCATGAAGCGTGGCCGACGCAGTTGACCCGCTGATACTTTTTTTATTATTCTTAACAAAAGATTGGAAAATACGCACAAGACAGGTGTCCGAGTAGATATTCTGAACTTTCTACGTGTCACAAAAGAGGACTCGCGAGAATAGTAGTATATCTTATATAGTCTTACGTTGAAAAATTGCAGCGATTATTTAGGATTTACATTTTATATTAAACCAATTACGCGATACCAGATTACGAAAACTGATATGTGTAAAAATTTTTTATATTTTTCCCGTGATTCATACCACTATTCTATTTAATGATTAATGACTATTATATAATTAATATTATTATAAATAGGTAGTGTGCTTTTATTTCGAGTATGCACGCGAATGGCATTTGATAGAAAGCACGTCCTCGTTATTATATTTCGTTATTAGAAAGTATAAGGTACCGTATCTCTCACTGGTTTTGAAATAAGGCAGAGTAGTACGCAAAGTCGGAATCTTAATAAATAGTCTAAATCAGGAGGCACAAAATATTATATGAGAGACGAAATCGAGAGAGAAGAAATCTCGCGATTCATCTCTTTCGCGAATCAGGCACATATACAAAAAGTACATTTCATTGTACAAGTTTTATTCGTACTCATTATCATACTCAAGGCACTAATTATATTATAAGATGACAAGAGAGAATATAATCGGTAATATGAAACTGTATAAACCCTTATAAGCAGTGATCGAAATTTCTTCACTTTCTCTGCAGTCTTATGCGATTCACACGCTGGTTTTCTTTAATCAATCAATATATACATGCAACGGATACAAAAAAAATATATCGATATCACATTGTCAGATTTGTCTCGTGACTCACATGTGGCAATGCTTGTAAAAAAAAGAAATTAAATGTTGCTCCCGTACTAAGTTATAAAATATTAAAGCTCTAATCCTCTCTCAGCGTTTTGTTTAATTACTTTAGAAGAGGTAACACTAGTATCATCCTATAAAAAGAACAGACAGGAGGACCCCGTATTATATATTGATCGAGTAAAGAGTAGCTAGAAAAGACTGGAATGAGAAGAAATAATTCTATGCCTATAAGATTTTCCGCCAAGTACATTTCATAATAATCAACTATTTTGTAATTAAACTAAATATTTATTCTTCCTCTCTTACTTCATCGTATTAACGATTCGAAAATAAACTTTAGTTAGTCCTCAAATGATGGACTATCAAGAAAATGCTAATACTTAGAGCTGGAACATATACAATCATGGCCAAACGAAATACTTGGGCGTATTCGCATTACAATACAATAGCGAATACACGTGTACGTGGATGCATTCGTAAAACAATCTTACGCATATTACGGCCTGTCTAAACAATTTTACGAACAAAATTACAATGGCAAGATGTTGCTGTATTAGGCAACGCAAATTCTGCAACTATTAATGTTGCACGAAATTAAATTTATAAAAAATAGTATAATGTATAAGAAATAAAATGCTCACTTAGAGCGCCTTGAGAGTTTTAAGATTTATAATGATGTACGTTTGCAATCCTTCAACTAATCGATTTATCATGCATTAAACTTTAAAGAGGAGCTTATCAGTTGTGATCGTTTTCGCTACGATATATTTATATTACATATCGTGATTATCTTTCACATATAATTTTATTCACATGCAATGTTTCTTCGAATCAGTTGTTGAATTAATAGATAATGAATGACGTTTTAGAGCCTGTGCAATTAGAAAAATCTCACAAACTAAGCATAAAAATGAATAATTAATGCTATAAAAAAAACAAGTCGGTTGCTTTTATATGTATCAATTATATAAAGAATTTATGCAAACTTGGTGATTGAAAAAAATTCATTTGATTATATAATAGCGAAGTAAATAATTATCGAAGCACAGAGAATTCTAGAACGAAGATATAGTTTGCATATTAAGAATATTATTGATTGTATTTAGTGCACTATTATTTTCTCTTATATGTATGTCTTATAATTATGTCGTTAACTATACAGAAAAGAGCAATATTTTTCTCGTTGTTTATCTCCTTATCTCCAAGTCCCTACCTTCAATAATATTTTTAACATTGGCAATTATTCATTTTTCCCGATATAGTTAATTATGCAAAATTATGAAAAAAGTACAAAGATACAAAATTGTATAAACATTTATGAAATAGTACAATTTTACGTATCAGTTCTTATTTCAATTCCATATTAACGTTATAAAATTGTGGAATTTCTATTTTTTTTTGTGCGATTTATCTTCAATAAATTTTGGACGTATTAAAATTAGTAAATTGCATTGTCTCTCCTCGTGATAAACCCAATCAAATCACAGGTCATTGAAATATAATATTATCTTAGCAAAACCTATCAAATTCATAACGGTCGACATTATTTTTGTTGATTAAATATATTGACTATATTGGCACATAGCAGGTATGCATTCGATCATTAGTATTTAACAATGTTCTCATTTTTGGATTTTAATATTTTTCACACATACGCCAGACTTTATTCCAAAACTTAATTCTTGAAATATGAATATTTTTAAGTGTTATTAAAAAATCTATTGCTTCGTTGATAAAATCGATTAAAGTGAAATTAAGCCGCATGTAAATTTTTTTATAGCTCAAAGATCAGACCTCTTCTGTATGATTCCCGCTGAACAAATTCTAATAAATAGAAAAACAAAAATGAAAAAGATAGTAAGTAAAGTTGAAATTGCAGAAAATTTTGATGTCAAAAACTTAAATACAATAAATTATTATTCTTATTAGTTGAATATTTATTTCATGCTGTGATTAAAGTTTTAGCATACTTGCTTAATTCACTTTAAAAATGAAAAACAAATGCTTTTCCTATTTTTTTGCATTGAGATTGCGAATGCAATGGGATATATTAACGAGACATTAATGCTATTTTTTTTTACAAATTATCGATACATTTATTAAGAAAGGTTTTGCACATGCCTGCAGTGTCTATCGATATAAGTCTGGCTTTATTTGTCGTTAAAATAATGATTAGAAAGTCCGAAAAAGTATCTCCGAATCAGTGGATAATTTGACGGTATATTTCTTAGAATAATTTAATTGACTCGACTCGACAAAGAGCGAATTGTATTTTTATAAAAAGACGATTTTTTAAATCGTATTTTATCGGCGAATAAGTGCGGAAGCTAAGAAGGCATATACAATAATTACAAAGAGATAATACATAAAATAAATAAATGATATTAATAATGGTAATATAACAATAACTAGACATTATTGGCACTAATAACAGTAATATCATTTTTATAATGATGTATCCGAGGCTAAGGCGGTATTCAGGAAATTGTACTGAATTCTTATTATAAAAACAGTAATAATGGGGAAATGAAGTAATTATAATTATTTAAAACACAGAAGTGTGATGGGTAAAAATGTTACAGCACGTCTTCGGGCCTTCTCCGATATTGATATAATTAATGTCTTAATCACTATTGACGATATATATTAGTTTAACATACCATAGTGGTTTGTTAAAAATGCACGTCTCTTTGTTCAGAATACTAAACGACTGTAGCAAAAGGAAGTATGACTTGTTGCATACTAATTACAACCTTCGCAGCGAAGCCATGCTGAGAGCCTTTCGAGTCGGTTGATCTGACATCGGCGCAACTAGAACATCCTCTCGATTTGGAGAACTTGAACCACCATTATCCAGCTCCTGGAAAGATATAAGACTCGATGTATTCATTCTCCATTCTCTTATTTTTTTTAAATATAAAAATGAAAAATGCAGTAATAAAAACTTCGACATTTAGATTTAATTTTGAAATACAACATAAAAGAATAGTTTTATTTAAAACAGTTATCAATATATGTTGAATTATTAATTTATTATCGATAGATTAAAAATAGTATAGAAAATAATGTGATAAGTTATTGAAATGGAGTTATAATATATAAGAGATTGAAGAAGAAAGAGAAAATTTAACTTGCCATAAGATACAATTGCAATATAATTTATATATCTTAGTTTTACTGTAAAATTAATTTTATTATAAAAGTATATATAAATATATTATTCTCTCTAATATATGTTAAATTTTATGGTCTGAATAAAATCATTAAATCTTATGGAATTAAGCGAATATCGAGAATATAATAAACATTAATATATATACATACAAATCTAGTAAAAAAAAATTACTTTCCATTAAGAAATAAATACAAAAAATAGATTCCAACACATGTTATCTAACGTACTTACATGAAATCCTTAATATAGTTCGTCCATAGACTAAGTCAGCATAAAAATTCGTTAACATTATTAATATATTTTTCCATAATAATATAGTAACAAAAATTAATTGCAAGCAAAAATAAGATAAAATAGAAGTTCAAAATATTTCATAAATGAAAAATATATAAGATACTGGCCTAATAGAACAGATAAAAATCATATTTAGCTAAGGAGTTGTCAATATATATATCATTGAAGAAATCATATTTAACGTGCGGAATATATATTTATTTTACAAAATACAAAAAATAAATCCATCTTATACTAAAAATTGTTTTAACTTTTTAACATGAAAAAGTTAATTTATAATAGAACACAAATATAAAAAAAGATTGCAATTATAGTTCCCTTCACAATCCGCGTGCATACACGCGTTCTATACGTAAGATTATTAAAATAAAATTAAGAGATAACAAATGGAAAAGAAATAGTAGTTTATAGTGAATGTAAAGCAAACGAAGAAAAAGAAAAGCGAAAGCAGAAAAAGAAAAACAAACGAAGAAAAAGAAAAACGAAAGAAGAAAAAGGAAAGCGAAAGGAAAGTGAATAGAAGAAAAATCTGTATAAAAAAGATTATCAACTAACGCTGATGTTGTTGCAACTACCTAGCCGCATCTGAGCTATTTGTTGGTTTGTCGGTGGATGATTTTGTGTTACTCCAAACGGGGACATAATCGTAGACATTGCTCTATTTAGTTTGCTTGGTGTTTTATTGAAACTAAACGCTCGGCCAACTCTCGCTCTTGTACGAGACGCAAACCTGGAGAAAAAAAATATAATTTTAAGTTTTTTTTCATATACTTATGGGATCGTTTAAATGCAACATTAAAACTTTCTTTCCTCCTTTCGAGTTAACAATTGTAAGATCTTTTGCATGTATTTTTTTTTTTGATTACACGGTAATAAAATCTATTTCACATGGAGGAAAAAAAGTTTGCGAACAAACAGAGAGACCTGCGTCATAAAATCCACAAAAACATTGTCATAAATAAGAATTGTTATACTAAGAAAACAAATACATGCAGATAGAATATCACTATGGTACAAAGAAAATATAAGATATAATACATGCAGAATTTTTCAAAACAATATAATACAATCACGCGATAATAAGAGACAGTGACAATTGCACCATGGCTGCATAATAAGAGAAATAATACCTATTAATAAAGAGAAAAATATACATGTATGTATATTTTCTATTTTCTTTGTGTGTATGTGTGTGTGTGTGTGTGTGTGTGTGTGTATGCGCGTGCGCGCATATATATGTTAAATTATAGCCTAAAAAATTATAAATAAAAAATAAAATCAAGCAGTAAACAAAAGCACTATTAACAAAAATTTTAAAACAAAGCAATTAAATTGCAAATTAAATTATAATGCAGAATAATTAATGTTACAATTAAAACAACAATCAGTTAAAAAATGCAAATACATATTAAAGATATAGAAAATATATAACATTTAATCCTCGTTTAAAGAAAAATATAATAAACTTTTATATATATATATATATTTTATATATATATATATATATATATATATATATAAAGTTTAAAATTATGTTACATTATACTTGAACTGATCAAAATTGGCTAAGAAATTGTTTCTGAATAAGATTATATCTTTTCATCACAGCATAAAACAAAATCTTAAAAGCAAAGTTTTCAGTAGCATAATTACAAATTTTCAGTCTTTTTAATCAAAAGAATTAAAAAGACCGTTTTCTTATTTTAGATGCAAAAATGTTTACAAATCTGTATTTTATATTATATGTAAACATTCATTTGATTAATGAAACATTTCTGTTTTAATTCTTTTAATTATTTTTAAATCTGCTGAAATAACAAGCTTAAGAATTTGATTACGCGCGCTTAATAATAATTACGCCACTGAGTAAAGAACTGAGAATAAAAAGCAAGTAAAAAAATATATTCAGCCTTGGTGCGAAAACTGACGGTAGTGGGACATGTAACGTGGTTTCACACATGCTATTGAGTAGGAAGACATACGGGTCCATATACTCCAGGTAAAAATTATGAAATAGGCTCCTGTAACCAAACGGGTCGCCCCATTATTTCTTTACATCATGCAATAGAGTATAGAATATGTACAATATATAAATCTTTTGATTGTAGAAATATTTCAATACCATTTATAATTAAATCATCCGAATAGAAACGACATAAATTTACAATTTGCCGCTCATCAAATAATATATTCGCTTTATCTGAACGCAATGGTAGATCAAAATTATAATTATTTTTAATTTTGTCATAAGTAATAGTTATTCTAACATTCTTAGATATTAATAATTAAATATTAATATCTTCATTAAATCTACTATCACATTACTTTTTCATTCAAAATATTTATTAAGATAAAAATTTCTATTCTAATAACCTAATTTATATAGATAACTGAATTCTATCACAATATGTGTAATCTAATAATAAAATTATCTAACTACAAGAGAAGAAAAAAATCACTCCTCACACCTTATAATATTTGACAAATAGCCTGTAAGAGACAATTTGCTACGTATCAAAGAGACATTTTACTATTACTTCAGTTACATATAATATTAAAGTAATGATGTATAAATTAGTAAAAAGTATAATTAGTTTGAAGGCACAAATGTACTCACTTAATTGTTTTCTTTAATGTTCCTGATGCCACATCGCTAGTACCAACTTCAAGTTGATGCGAATCGTATCTAATGAGTAACGTATCCTGATAAAGAAAAATAAATAACATAAATTAATATTATATATTGTAATTTAACATTTAAGCCTGCCAGTAGATACAAGCAGAAGTTGCAGTAAATTGACATTCGCTGCATCAAGTTCGCTTGTATTTCACTGGCAGAAGACATATGATGCAACGGCGTATTGATGACAGAAAACCGAGCAGCATTTGTCAAACGCAAAATAATGAACTATGTTATATTTCTGCCAACATTCTATCAACAGCATTATATACAGTAAGTCTTGCATCAAATTTATACATCTTTCTGCCAACAAAATCTACGGTAAACACTTTGCGAAACCTTTTTTTAAACTTGATTGTTTGAAGATTTATATATGACATATAGTTTTAAATAATACACTCTAACTTACAGCATCGGCTACACGGATAGCAAGGGCCATTTGCCTACATAAAGTCTGTAGATAATTCGTTTTGTTTACTTCCTCATCAGTAATTACAAACGAAAAGAACTTTTCCTTCAGTTCCTGAGTACCTCTTACCACGAGCGCAAATACTTTGTGACATTCTGAACGAAAAATTGCACGATTAGTTATAATTTTATTTTACAAAGAATGCATGCGTTTTTTTTTACATACGCACAATATTTACGTACCATCAGTTTCTCGAATATCCACGACTTTTCTTATGGTACTTAGAGACAACATTTTTATATGTTTATACGGCTTTCCCTGGCTAAGTTTGATCGATTGCAAGCCATTTATAGTATTAGGGCTCTTCAACGAGTTAAAAGCTTTCGATCTCTTCTTGCAAATTTCGAGAGTATCGGTGAAGAGGAATAATACTAAGTGATCGCCACGTCCGCTAAGACCTTCCGTAACTTCCATTACGTCACATTTACTGATAAATGATCTATGCGAGGAAACTAGATGTGGCGGGCAATTATCGATCTCATTGAAGATATCGAACATTGCTAATTGCCGCTCCGTTTTCCTTTTGTCCTCATTTATGTACGTATTCACTTTATCAATACTGTTACGAGCAGCTTCCAGCGCACTATAGTCTGGATTACTTCTGTCCGTATGTTTAAGAATTTCTGTAATAAGAAAAGCATTGCGCTGACGTCAGAAAATGTATAATGAGCAAAAGTAAAGTTAATATTGAAAGTATAATTTAATCTTACCGCTTAATAGTAAACTAATACTGGGTAACCTTTGTATTGGTTTAATTAACAGGTCCTTTAAGCTTTGTCTACCGCATTCCGGTATTGTCTGACAATTTTTTAAAAAGGCGTGAAATCTTGGCTTATTTTGATCACACTCTTCCAACATTTGTTTTGTATTTTCGAAGAAGTTGACGTATGGGGGATACGCTTTAACCAAATCTGGTTCGAACTTTAGAAATATCTCGCCTATGCTGATATCCTCCGTCCAATGAGCGGCACTACAACGCAATGCCTCCAACAGCTGTTTATGAACGTCATAAATAGGTGGGAAATTGCCGAATATGATTTTTACTTCAGTGCTGTTTAGCAACTCTTTTCCACTTTTGCCAATGAGATTTTCCAATGGCAATTTGAAGAGCTGTAATCAAAAAAATATTCAAATGTAGATTATTAAAAAAGTTATTAAAAAATATAAAACAATTTACTGCATAAATATTTACCGTCATAATGGTGTTAAGGATGCCTACGTAATTGGATTCAGTCTGTACTAATTCGAGAAATACTTTATGACGTTGCGACAAGTTTTCTTTAACTATCAGTAAATGTTCTGTATCAACAGCTTCCACCTCTGGAATATCTAATGGTTAGTAATAAATAATTTTAATACTTCTTCATTCTTCCTTTTCATTTGATTCATCTTACAAATAGGTAAAAGCATATAATGTGTTTTTAATTATTAATTTTTGTAATAATCTAGCACTAAATGTTTTGTATGCCATGCTGCAAGATGTAAGTCATCTTATTTCGTTAAGACAAAAAAAATAATAAATTCATTGTAACACAAAAATGTCAGTACCTAGTTGCATTTAATGAGCCAATATAGAAAAAGAAGATTATGATCTATTGACATGATGTCAAAATAGCAATATATTTATTTTTGTGAACTTTATAAATATTAATTGATATTTAACGTTGTTATGATATTATACTTTAGAATCAAATATGAAAATATAAAAAAAAAATATTAGATATATACCGTCTAGTAATTTATCTGGACTTGCTGTGCAGTCCAGAAAGCTTCCACTGACACTGGCTGGCGAATCCGCTCCATTTTGTAACAAATTAGAAAATGTACCGCCTAACCAACAGGGATGCTTTGACAATGTCACATTCTGTGGTATCTGTTCACTGTCTCGTCTACCCGTCGCAGTAGGGGACAGAACTTTTTCTAGATACTAAACAAAATTCAGATATCGCACAATTTTAGATATCAAACAGTAACTGGATATATTTAAGAAATTTTTTATTATTATAAACTTACATGTTCAAATAGATACTCTTTCTCATCAGCGGCTGCCTCATTCTGTACAGATGTCCAAAACCAACCGGTTTTGACTATGAAAGCAGATACTGAAACTAAATTTGGTAGAACATTTACATTGGACTCATCTACGACCTGTAATAAAAAAAAAACATCAACATTATTATACTTCATTATAGCAGACCATTTACAGTCGCATCTAAAATCACAGGACAGTTATACAATTTTATATAACATTTTTACATTATGATTTCTGCACACCAAATTTTTCAAGGACAATACAATATAAATACTGTAAATATCATTAGTATTGTGTAAAAATAATTTAAATTGTGAATAAATATATAGGACGTTCACAAAGACATAAATCTAATCATATCACCATAATAATTTTTAATCAATTTAATTGGATTTTAAATCCTGGTGTTAAATTTTTTATTCAAATTAGTGAATATCACATACCCTTTAAGTCACTTTTTCTTACACTATGTATGATTAAAGACGTCAATTTATTTTATACCAAATTTATTAAAATATTTATTTTACACCACAGAGAAAATTACTAAACCACGAAATACTTTCCCACAAACAAAACAAAAAAAAAGTAAAAAAAGTACCACGTGTAATGATTTATCCTTCTGCGTCTTCAAATCTGTACATTCGGTTTTCACATCGTGTGATGCAGACGGTACGTTACTTTTTCCATCAAATATAGAAATGTTTCGTGAGCTGTGTTTAGTATTCGACATTTTTGAAGGCATTGGGAAAGACTTGGATAAAGATGTGTATTTCTTTTTGAAAAGAGTTTTCTCAGGAGGACAACAGCGCGAATTGACGGAAATATCTTGCTTACTGTTAGAAAATATTGGACAGAAAGAGAATTGGCTGATTTTCGAGAAAATAGATGTGTATGATTTGGATAAACGCTTATTACTTTCATCTAACGCATTCTGTAAAAAGGTATCGCTATACTGTTCCTCACGCTTCGATATATTCGGATACGAGCGCGTCTTCGTGAATTTATACTTTTCAATTGTCGTCATTTTATGAATAAATGTGCAAGAATTAGTTTTTCGCCATTTTATATATCGTTTAGGAATTATTTTACTTTTCGATGTATTATTCTGTACGTAATGAATATTTTTACGGTATTTCAAAGATAATGCATTATTGCTCGTTAGCGACGCGCAAGGATTATATTCGTTATTTTTCTCGTAAGATTTCGGCGATTTTAAATCATCTGGTTTATCAGAAAAGTTAAACGTACTTTCACAAGATATTTCGTTATCGAACAAAGAACTTTCGGAAATATGGAATTTAACGTTTTTATTGCTCATCAATGTCGATGTTGTTGGAACTGAATATTTATTTGGCATAGAAATCGCTGAAGACGAAGTAGATGATCTAGTTATGTCTATGCCAGAATCACTTTGCTCGGTGAACGAATGGAATAAGTTTTCGGATTTAATAATTGAATTTTGTAAAGCGGGACATTTATCATTCATACTGATAACAGAATCTTGACTGATATCATATATGGAAACAAGATCGTTCCATTGATTACAATCTACACCCTGTGTGCGCGAGATTAACGAATTGTTTTTCGACGAAGGATAGCTCGATATGTTACTCGATATATTATAAGTTTTTATAGCGTTAAAAACCGCGTTTGAATAAGGATTGTAAAGAGAAAAGGAAATTGGCTTAATACACGTTAAAGAACGTGAACTGTTGGACGTGTTTTTAAGATACAAGTCCACATTGTTGGCTCTCTTGCAGAAAAGGCCGGGTATATCTACCACCTAAAGCACGTGTATCATTGATGTAATGCATGTCAGTATGTGTGATGTAGCGTCATATAAATAAGTATATGCGGAAAATAATTTGAAAGTAGTATATGAAAATTATATTAACTACTTACAACATGGGTGCAACTCGGATCATCGATCTCAGTGGGTTCACCACCCTGCTGCTCAAGAACTTCACACATATGCTTCTTCTCTTCTTCGGGAAAACCAGAGAAACATACTTTTGCCCCGTAAAATGGCTTCAACTTGTAAGTTGCTATCTACAATTAGAATTAAATGTGTTTTTAAGAAAAAGGAAACTCTTCGTCTAAACTATCATAATGTTAACTATAAAAGCTTGAATGAGAACACTATGCTGCTTTGCTATCGCGCCAAGTACTCAGAGATAGCAATAGAGAGATAGAGAGTGCAACGCAGATTCTGCACTACGATTGTTTGCTCACATACACGTATTTTCTCTATCTTTTTACTGCTACCTTCAGTGGCACTCAGCCGTGTTGGCGCGTTTTGTATTAGAATTTATTAGAATATGTTGAATATAATAAAATAATTTTAATTATTACAAGCTAAAGTTTTAATTATTTTATTCTTATCATGTGAAAATTTTTTTATGACAAAGCTACATTTTAGAATTATTATTGTCTAGTATCAATTATTATCACTTACCAACTCCTCTTTGTTTGCATACATGGAGATATCGTCTTTGGCATTCCACAATGCCATCACCCATTCTATCGACATGATAGGCAATCCAAATGTGTCAGCATATCTATACTTCTCTCCACTGCAGTGATTTGCAATAAGATGCGTCACTTTAATACCCATCTCCTTTCGGATGCTACCGCCCATATTAAGAATCATATTAGCTAACTTGCGCTGTTGAAAAATACATAGCGTTATAAAAATATAAGATACACATAAATCAATTACATCAAATAAAAATTATAAATGGATAATGGACTGACCAATTCATCCTCTTTAGCTCGAAAACCGCTAAATACCACTATTGTCCCTACCATAGCTTGTGTGTACATTGGTCTTTTAATGCTGGGCAAGGATTCTTTCTTCTCTGCCAGTTGCAGCAGAGCCGTAGGTCCCAGTACTCTAAAAAAAAAAAAACAAATCAAACGAATTATCGTGGAACTTTTTTTCGATATCAGGACTGTCAGCATGATACATTTCAACCATTTTGCATGCTAAAAGACTATATTACATTGTTATGTACAAACCTATGAGCGCTCTTGCATAAACCATCGTATTCGGGACCTTCAAATTGTTTGAGTATAAAATAAGTATTGTAGGTAGTGTCATCAATGTACTCTGTACCAGTTTCAGACTTGAGTACAGGCACTTTGAATTGTTGGGCAGCAGCATTAAGTGCAGGATCATTGCAGGTCGCACCAACTAAACATATCCTCTTCTTACGTGGTATTATTAAGGCTGTAAAACGTATAATTTCCTCGTTATCAAACTTTTTATCATTCGCGCTGCTTATAATCATTTGCATTGAGTAAACTGATATAGGTATTAATTTTGTTGAAGGAGAACCTCTGATAGAGCAAGAAAGATATCCATTTAACATTTTACTTTAATAACATGAACAATTGTTTAAAAAAATCAAAATAATGTAAATATATAATTTTTTAATTTTAATAAATTATTTATTACTATATCATTTATAAATTTATAACAATGTTATATGTAACATTATAATACAGTAATAATTGCAAAACAATATTACTGAGATGAAAAAATAATTAATAATAATTAGCTTCTCTTGGTAATTAGAAATTTTTTACATGCGCACGTAAATAAATAAAAAACGTTTGCCAATAAACTACAAATATACCGTTTTAAACTTCGACAGGCTAACAGAAAGATTTGTTAGAAAACGCTATTTTTAGCGTTTCTGTAAAATTCAAACATTGTTATACAAAGTACACAAGCTCTAATCTCGTATCATAGGCAACGGGAAGTCGCGTATACATGTATACATCTGTACGCACCATTCACGTGCTCGGCGTAAGATAATTAACTCGTGAAAAACACGAAGGGCAGAAAGAGACAGGAAGATAGAGGGAGCGAGAGCGAAGAGGAGAGAAAAACAGAACGAGAGAGGGAGATAACAGAGAGGCAGAAACGAGCGAGATCGCGAACTACTGCGAGAACAGCATCGTAATTTTCAAGGAGTCTCATAAGGACACTCGTCACGGAGAGGAACCATTTATCTTAAATATAATATGTATTAGAAAATTCGAAGTCGAATTTGCAGGACTATATAACGGATAAGAGTTACAAAAGACTTTCACATTTTTTTTCCCCCTATCACTATTTCTTTTCTTTTTTTTGAAAATCCTTTTGTTTGCTATTCAAACAAAACGTTGAATTTTTATCTCATTCTAGAAAGCTCCGAGAGAATACCGTGACTGATTGGCCATGACGAATCAAAGTCGTAAATTTCGCAAAGTTTGAAAATAAAGATAGACGGCCGTTAGAAAAGTATATGTATATAGGCTTTCAACGGATGTGTTTTCACGTCCGGGAAACGTTTTCCGTGAAACGCGAGATCATCGCCGACGCAGATTCGGTCGGAGAAGGTAAATTCAAAAATCGCGCAGAGGGCTTACAGCCAGGAGGTGGATTCGGCGAAGGTGGCGAGTCGACCGCGCAACGACATCACCGTCCCTCGCTCTCTCTCTCTCTCTCTTCCTCACGTTCGCACAAGACGGGGCGCCGTGGGATGATTTAACGTTGACAGATTCGTACTTACTTCTGGTCGCCTCCGCACTATTTATATCGCCGATACTGCCGTGTACGCTACGCTCTTCCATCTTGCTGGCTCTCGTACGTTACAACATCGGTTCGCTCTTCTCGCCCCTTTGTACGCGCAAATCTTGCCGAGCGTGTCCTCCCGTCTCCGACGTGCAACGACACTCGTCCCGTCCCGTCGCCGATCATTTAAAATGCTGCCGCGCAGGCGACAGCCGCGAGGTCCTCCGCACCACCTTCGTGCTCGACATGAAACTTCACTTCACGCTCGCGCCCGGCTCCACCACGCAAAAAAACGAACCTTTTACCTGCCCGAAAATCGCGACGAGCACAACTAGGCAGTGTGCCGACGGCAACCATCGACAAACAGCATCAACCACACGATTTGGTTTGGCCTTCCTTCCTCCGGTTCCTCCCTCCCGCGTATGACCCGTGTGTTGTCCGCCCCACCACCGGGCTATTTCGTTGAGACTCGCCGAAACCTCGCATTGTCTCACTCGCGCCGTTGGCGCGCTACTCCTCACTCTTCACGCGCTTGCGCGTCTTCGTCTTCCGTTCCTCTCCTCACCATCAACAACACGACGCGGACGCCTGGTTAATCGCGCAGCGCGCGCGCTGCTAACGATCATTTTTGCCTCCATAGCTAGGGGATTTTACAAAGTGAAGTTGCAGCAATTTTTGGCACACCCATGGACTATAATATAGAGAGACATGGAAACGAACGAACGTATAACGATGTTATAATTACAATAAATCGATTTTTATGAAACTTATTGCGTTTTCGAACGGAACGGGCTTGATCGCTCCGAGAGTGATTAATAACGTCACATGCTCTCCTCGTCCAATCAAAAATCTAAAATAGAGCGTGTGACGTCATTAACCGCTCTCGGAGCGATCAAATCTTAGAACATATATTAATATAAATAAAGTTCTAAGGATCAAACCCATCCCGTTCGAAAATGCTATTAAACTTAAACTTAATTAACTCTCCAACAGATTTTCTTTCTTATCGCTTATCTCATATAAGCCTCGCGAAATGTAAATCATGTTCTCTCCTAAAATATCTAACGAAAAGGTTTTAGGATTTAATACCAATTTTACTTTTATTTAATTTAAAGAATTGGAAAAAAGATAAAGAGCAAATTAAATTGAGATTAATTTATACTGGTAGAAATACTAGAAATGAATATCAGTATTTAAATATGAATTTATTATCAATGAAGTGTGTAATGTGTATTTAGCATTACTGCATTATCCATCATCCTGCCTCTGAAAAACGGACGCGACGCGGTCCGAATTCCAAAAGCAAATAAAACGCTTCGATTCGCCGCGTAGCGTTTATATACTCCACTCGTAAGCTAGCGTCAGCCAATAGGAGCGCTTGAACGCAGTGAGCGCCGCAGCACTGCGGTCATTGGCTGGAGTGCGAGTGGTGGGGCACGCGTGAGGTGGAGTAGTATATAAACGGCGCGTAAGTCGCCGCGCGCGGCATTTCACATTGAGTTGGGGGGGGTCGTTACGTTTCGTCGCGTCTCGCAGCGGCCATGATACAAAAGGACGATGTGTAGCTCAGTAGCTGCAATATGATTTCGGATTGCCTCAATCTTAATTCATGAATAAGACAAATCCTTCCAGGACTAAATTTTTTGGTATGTTCTAAGAATTTGTTTCTCGTTAATACCGCAATCTGCGTAATTAAGATAACGAAGCGGCGTAATTTATCCCGCGTGCGGTCAATTTACGCGAAACAAGCACGGCAACGCGTCGGCGGCGTTGGCGGCGACGCCGCTACACGTCTTTTTGGCCGAACGAATATGGCGAATACGCATCCGCCATCCGAAATTCCGACCGAATCAGAGCGCGAGTACCGAATCAGTATTACGCGACCTAGATGCAAGATTGATACGCATTGTTATATGCATTTTCCGCATTTCGAGCAATACATACTATATTTCACGTTAACGTATGCATGACGCGAAATCAAGAGTAAGAATGCGGATCGACGTGAGATAAGAGAGAGGATAAATGCCAAGTAATTATTTCCTAAACGATCTTTCGATCACAAAATCCATCTCGCGCATTTCGCAATTCAGGTTATTTGTCGTCATTCTATACGCAATTTGCTTATTCTCATATTTTGTGTATAACTCGCAGCTTGTCAGATCGTCCATGTTAGCCATGTTAAGCAATTAATTATTTGTAATCAACAGGTGCATGAAGTGCAGCATCGATGGCGAGATGAGAAGCGAGTGACGCGGAAGTTGGCCGCGCGATTTTCGAGTTGCTTCCGCCATTTCGTTCATTCGCGAGTCACGTCGTCGCAAGCGTGTAAACATTGCCGGTCTCTCGAACGTATCGTAGTTTCGTTTGCGCAAATCATGTTTTTCCTCGCGTTATCCTTTCATCGAAAGTAAAGAAGTGTCCGTTGTGTAAAAATTAAGTCGGGAGTGCCGCGCGAAGGACATATATCATGATTAATCGCGCGCGATCGTAAAATTAACCATGTTTCGCGAGTGTGTTGTGGCTGAAACGACGAGGTCTGAGAGGAGGTCTGGAGACTCGGGGAGATGACATCGGGCGTCGACGGAACAATCCTTGGGTAAGTAATCGCAATAATTATTTTCTGTTTGAAGCGCTTCTATAATCTGGGTGTATTTGTGTTTTACAGATCAACGTAAGTAGTCGTCACAACTCTGCTGCTACGCGTCATATTGAGGTTAGCTTTTATCTTAATCAAAAGTAATATGCGAAAAAATTATATTACATTCGCATAATGTAAATACCTATGTAATGAGAAATTTGGACAATTGGATGATGGCTTGAAGTATTTCGGCAGTCGGTAATATAAAATGTATTTTACCGACTATAACATTTTTTATTAAAATACAGTACATATGTATTTTAATAAATTATAAATGTGGAACAGTTCGACATATTAAATATATATATGGGATAAAATATAGAATTATTATATAGTATTATTGATGGTAAAATAACTAGATTGTTGAAAGTTTATAAAATCAATATTTAATTATTAATTATCTGATATACAGTATATAGATAAAATATACTTACATTCGAAACATAAAATTAACGTCAAAATGGTTATATTATATTAAATGTTGCAAAGTTATCAAGTGTAGAATCATGATTTACCAAGCGTTTGTTATTTTCGATTTTACCGATAAATTATACCAAGTTCTATCGTACTTTTGGATATCACAAGAAGATGGCGTTGTCAAAGTGTATCGAATGTTGAACTTTTCATTAATCATACATATACGTTTACACCGTGATTTTTAATAATTTTTATTTATTTCTTTTTAACATCAATAATATCTATAAAACATGCATTTATTAAATGTTTTTACTCTTCTGCCCTGCAAGAAAAATAGTATATAACGCGTACTCGATCGATAATTTTAATTAAATTCTACCTAAAATATATCCGAAAATAGATCTTTTAGAATGTACAAAATTAGCCGGAACTAATGTTAAGGCAATAAAATATGCATATTATATACAACATACATAATGATTAGAATCAAATCTATACAATTTATACTGAAATGTGCAAGATCGAATAATTTTTTTTAACAATTAAGTTACAGTTTTTATTCTTGAAAATAGAAGTAAAACTGTATGATATATATATATATATAAGTGAACGATATATATATATATATATATCGTTCACTTATTCGAAGTTGCACAATCAAATATATGTCTAAAAATCATCTATTTCAATCACAAATTCGTTCTAAATATTTATCCTAATGCGAGTAAAATCTTTTTTTGATTGCAAAAGGACGTTGATTGGAAGGTTAATCGCAGCAGTCATAAAACAAGTATCGTCAGCAAGTAGAAGTTTATTGCTACAACGTTAGACGTTTACAGTTATTCCCATAGGCCCGCAGTATTCTTACTTTTCAGAAGCGACGCGATGGCATTCTCTCTCGCATACAAAACAGTCGATCAGAATACCGAATCTCCCATTCACAATTATTGGGAGGTTGCACCCCCTTCCCCCATTTTACGCTGACACTAGGCCTGCTCCCATCCTTTTTTTTCTTTCTCTTTTTCTCTCTATATTTCTTTCTCGATATCCTCCTTCAGTCTCTCACAATTTCCCTTAGTCCCCCGTTCCTTCGCTCTCTTCACTCCCACCCACTCCTCACCGTCTTCGTTTCTCCCTCCTCTTCCTTTTCATCTCTGTGCCCTGTCCTTTTCTCTTTTGCTGTCTCTCTCTCTCTCTCTCTCTCTCTCTCTCTTTTTCTTCCGTCGTCGTTCTTAACCTGCTCTACCCCCCCCCCCTTCTCTCTTTCTCTCATCCTCTCACCTTGTGATCCTGTCACCCTCTCGGATTCCCCCGCTTGTCTTCTTGCTTCCCCTCCCTCTCTTCCCGCTCTTTCCTCTCACCCATGTCTTTCTCTTTTCCCCCGTCCCTCTCTCTCTCTTTCTCTCTTGCTCTTCCACTTCTATATATTCACCATCCTTGTTCTCAATTACGCAGGCTCATCACTTTTCCGTAACCCAAGTATTGTTTTATATTTGACGTTTTGACGCATTCTGCTATAATTAATGAAGGATTTCCAAACAGAAACTCATTGAAAAGTTCGGGGATTCGAATAGGTCGATAATCGATTTAATCAACTTATCGCTCCGATGCTTACGCTACATCGCGAAATACCGTTACTAGATGCAAAATGTATTAGACATAATATATATGGAAATAAAATATATAAATCTCTATATATAACTTTAGTATAAAAATAAAATATCGGAAAAAGATGCGATACGACAAAATTAAAAAAAAAAGAAGAAAACAGGAAAATCTGTCTTAATACTTCAAAAATCATTGCTCGAATTGTAAATAAATGTTGATACTACTCACGGACACTTAATTACTGTATTATATCTATAACTGTGGAAGAATGAGATCAACGCCATTCTGTGACATGCTTAAAGATTGAAGATGAAATATAATCTTTGAAGTATGAATCTTTGTTAACTTAAAAAAACAATGGTCATTGAAATTCCCGAATACCTATATCTACAGATATGCACGCTTTATAGGGAACGCGCGACATAAAATATTTAAATATTATACTAAATTTTACAGTAACAAAAACCAGAATAACCAATATTATTCTGTGGCATACATTCAATATACTGAATGCGATACTTGTTCTAACTTCAAGTTACGGATATTATATATGACTTTCACACAAGGTAAAACTGGGATAGTACATTCTAAGTATAACAGTACTGGTTCCTGCGATCGTGATGATAAGCTACGTATCGAAGAGATGGGATCAGTTTCATCCCATTGCCGTGCAACAGCTCTCTTTCGAGTTCTCTTATTAACCCTCTTATTCGCCCTCAGCCATGTCATTACCCTTTTAACCCTTTCAATTTGCGTTTTATTTGAATGCACTTCATGCATTTCGATCTATGTAC